CCCGTGAAAAGATGTTATGAAATTAACTCTGTAAAAAGCAATTGCCTTTTCTTGCCTGCACAATTAGCGTGGATTGTCCATTCTTCTCCAAAGTTCAGCTGTGACGACTGCAGCTTTTTAAAACAGTCACTCAAGACTTCGAGACCAGATGCACTGAGCTCCAGCAACTTCTTCCAGCGCCACGTTGCCAATTCTGTTCTCCGTTCTTGAAGCAAATCTGCAGGGAAATTAAATGGCGATTTGGCTTGCTTCTGTCTCCTGCTCTGAAAGGCTCCTGTATCTGATCACAACACAAAGCCTCGCCGGTGCCTCTAGTCACCCGAAAAAGATGGGTCGTGGTGTCTGTGTTAAGGGGCTGCTATCTCCGGGGAGGATGGAGGGAGGGTAGGATCAGCCCAGTGAAGAGAAGTACCAACAAGGAGACAAAGCTTCTGGAGTAGGTGCATTGCTGGGTGGTTACAAAACCTGCTTAACGTTTCGCTCACCTTTGGCGGGTTATTTTTAACCACCACGTTCCTTTGCGATAGCTGGAAGTGGTAGATGAGTTTTGACGTTCCAATTACATGAATTCCGTGGATTGACCGTTGTGTCATTATTTTCCATGAGCACGTGAACAAACGGTTTGTGGATCTGTGTGGGTTGTTTCCTTTGACTCCATTTATTAAGAGGAGTTTTGTTTAAGTTTATGGGCTTATATAGTTAGGTACCGTGAAAATTACTCTTTCTTGGGAGGCGTTTGTGTCAGTATCCTGCAGACTGAATCAGCAGCACCGCTGCTCGTGATAGAGTACCTGGGGCTCACGTTTTGTTAGCAATTGAAGAATCGTGCTCACAAGCATGTATTTTTAATCTTTCCCTCTTTTCTCCCTGATGCTTCGCTCTATCCTGGTGTGCTACAGGTGGAGAAAGAATTGATTTTAAATGCGACCACTGCGTGTGAGCCAAGGTCCCTGGGTGGCATCCAGCTAAGAGGAACTTGTTTGAAACCCAATTTACTCATCTCTGTCTGTCTTTGCAGTCTAAAAAGCAAAGACTGCAGTGCTCTAAGGCAGAAAGGCACGTGCAAGAATTAATGGTACAGGTTCCAGCCGAAGCTGTTCCTCAGGCGTTGCATCCCGCCGCCTTACTTCCCCTTGCAGTGAGCGTGAAGCACGATGGTGGTTTTGACGTGGCACGGAGAGGTTCAGTAAATGAGGCCCGAGGGTTGCTTTGGGTAATAAAGGGAACGTGCCCGGCACTTTTGTCCTTGACCCTTGCACTGCAGGTATCTCTTTCGGCCGTTGGACTTGCTCATTCATTCTGTGAACGTGTGTTGCGCGTGCAGGGGGGCCGTTCACCCCCAAGCCCCCCCCTCCCCGGAGCCTGGCGCCTTTCCTGTCCCTTTGGGCCTCCCTCCCTCCCTCCCTCCCTCCCTCCCAGCGATGCCTCAGACTCGAAGTCAGGACGATCGAGACCCCAGGGGAGGCCTTGGAGCCCGTCCCTCGTGTGCATCGGGGCCCGGGGAGAGGATTTGGGCGGAGCGTCGGACCTACGGACAGGAGACTGTTGGCTAAAACGAGGGCAGTGCGCAGGGGCTTTTGTAGGCCATTCCCTCGTAAGAGATGAAGATTCACCCGTGTAAATCTGTTGGGTTTTTTTTCCCCGTTGGATCTGCTCTTGCCCTGCCCGCCCCTCCGCTCTCCCAGCGTTGCCCGTTGGCAGGTGCTCTGAAGCTGGTTGTCAGTTGCAGCTTTGCTTTGCTTCTCTCGACTTCTGTGATTCTTTGTTGGGTCCGTAAACCCCGTTTCCCGCCCCCAATCTTTCCTGTGCTCTGTTGCAACATATTGTACTGCTGTAACTGTGTCGAATGCTCCTCAAAATACTTCCCTACTGGCAGTAAATATTTACCAGGAAACTTCCTGAAATGTTGACGTGACAATGGGTCTAAAGAGTTCTCACTTCACGTTGCATTTTTGTTTAATTTGGAGTTTGTAATTGGTGCTGTTCATGGAAATAGCTTCCTCGCCTTGGTAAGTGGGAGCGGATATGAATACAGACAGAAACCCCAAAGTGTTAACGTGTACGGTCTGGTGCCTCCAGTTAGGCAAGCGAATTTAGGTCAGCAGAGCGCGAGGAGCTTCGCAGACAACGGCTGGATTAGGGGCCCTTTGATTCGGAATAAACACGCAGAGTCCACGGGGCTGGAGCTGCCTCAGACCCTGGACTCAGCGTGTCCTCAGGTGGCCCCTGCCCGTCGTTAGCCCCGGGCCCGCGGGGACAAGCGGCACCTTCTCGGGCGGGATCCTGGTGCCAGCCTGGACCGAGACGCTGGACTTGTAAAGCCATCAGTCAGCGGGCTTAATGTAGCAGCATCCCGGCAGGAAAAGCTTCAGTGGCTTGAACTTCAAATAATTTATTTCTAAATTACTTCTACTGTAATTCTTATTAATTCAAATAGGCTTCTAAGCTGATGTAAAATTCAGTAAATGCAAGGAACAGTTTAATGAATTGAAAATGGGATCGAGTCTTTTAAAGTAAATGTAAAAAAATATGCTAGCAATAATTGCTTAGATGGAAATCGAATCTTAATAGCTTTGTTAATGATTTGTAGTGAATATTGCATTTATGAGAACATATCAAGCTGATCCTTGTGCAAGAACCTTGTTTCTGAATGGGTTTGATAAAATTGCTCCCCCGAAGCAGTTCAGTAGCGTTTAACGTTTTCGCTTGCGCTGCTGTGGAGGCGTTTGAGCGGCGCCGGCGCGGGAGCCCGGCCGGGGCGAGGCACGACAGATGCTGCGGCTCTTGGGCCGGGGGCCGTGGCTCTGGGGGCCCCTCCCCGCGGGCAGAAGGGGGGAGACGCCTCGGCTGCAGCACGGACTGTCGTCTCCTGGCGGGTTGTCCCGCCCGCGGTTGTCCGTCCTCGATTCGCTGTGAACCCCCTGGGCTGGGAGCGAAGTCCCGCACGGCGCAGACGGTGAGTCGATTTCGAGGAGGCAGGCGGCTGTACCCGCCGCCTTTGATCCGGGAGGCTGCAGCAGCTGCTGTGCCGGGGCGGCCGGGCGCTCGTCCGCTGCTCGGAGGGCTGGGAGCGTGAGCGAGGGCGCCGAAAGCGGAGGAGGAGCCGGGCAGGCGCCCCGGCGGGGCCCTCGCACCTCTTGCGATGCGCCTGGGGGGGCTCTTCTGGGCAGCGGGTCTGCTTCTGTTCGATAGAGCTCCTCGCCTCGCTGGTTAAAGTTCACCAATCTGGAGAAATCAAATTTCTACCAAGGGGGCAGAAAAATGTGCCCAGACTTCAACTCGGTGCCATCAGGCTGTGGAAAGGCGCCTTGGCGATTTATCGGTCTCTTCCTTGTCAAACGACGCGAACTTTTCCTCAAGCGTTTATTATTTCCGAGGCATGTCAAATAATAAATGCAAGTCAGAAATACCGAAAGAAAAACGGGAGAGAGTGCAGGGGACGAGAAAAACTAGAGTAGAAATAATATCCCTGGATTTACTGCTTGCCCGCTTCATCCAAGCCTTGCGTTCTTGGTTTTGGTGTTTTTTGTGGTTTGGGTTTTTTGTTTGTTTGGTTTTGTTTTTTTTTTTTGTGGCTAACCTGGGAGCTGGGCTGTCCCCGCCGCTCTCTGTGCGAAGGCAGCTGTTCATCAGCAGAGCACTTCTCCTGCCCACCCGGCCTTGGCCGGTGCCCGCATACCCTCGCTTCGTTTGGCAAATCGGCAAAGTTTCGCTACTTCTCCCACCCCGCTTTGCCTCCCGGTCCGTAAGGCCTGTGTGGTCTGAAAGCAGAGCTAAGTCGTGACCCAAAGGGACCCCGATGAGCGTTCCCCTGGCTGGAGTCCCTGGGGTGGTGTCCCCCAGTCCTGCCTCGGCTCCCTGCTCCTCCAGCTGGCTTTCCAGCCTTGGCGAGAATTCTGGTAGTTATGGAAAAATTGAAATGCAGAGGGCTTTTTTCAAATTCCCATCCTCCGCGTTCTTTAACATGTGAAGCGAATTTCTCAGCGTGCATGTGATGTAATGATTCGATTCATTAGGAGGAGAGTTTTTGAGGTGATGACCTGTAAATGATTACAAGGCTCCCACAGCATAATTGCATCAAATTCTTTTTTTCCTGCCTCTGGACATTAATAGCGCCTACTGATTACACAGAGTGAGTAAAAACTGGCTCCCCAAAGTCTATCTGCTCAAGTCAAAGGATAAATGCTTCTTACAGCGAATTGTTCTTTCGAGATAATTTAACAAAATTCATCTGTTGAGAGAGGAAGCGAATTTCTGCCGTTCCCATGCATGTGGCGAGGAGCTCGCTCCCCCGAGGCCGGTGCGAGCATTGAAGCATGGAGGGCTCCGCGGCCGCCCCTGAGATCTTTCCCTCGTCCGCTGCCTTCGGTCACGCTTTCAAATACGGCGGAGAGAATGTGCTGGGATAAAATGGCTTCTTTGCGATAAAAAGCGTGCTCCGTGGTAAGGCCGTAGAGCGGTCATTTGACAAACGGTTAGCCACGGAGTAGTCCGTTTCCCTCTGTTCCCGTCGTAGAGCTCCCTTCCAATTACTCCTCTTTAATTTATTGGCGGCCAGTGCAGTTCAGGGGGGAAGGACCATATTTGTCTTCCCTGGCACGGCTGTTTTGAGTGTTTGTCGTGGGGGTAATCGTATCCGTGCAGTGAAATTAATACCGGCCCCAGCAAAAACCAGATGTGGCTGCGCGGGGCGTGTTTGCTCAGTCACTGGTGGGGGCTGAAAGGGTCCCCGCTCCGTCTAAACCCAGACGGCCGCGGGCCCCGGGGTCAGTGGCTCGAAGGTGATGCTCCTCCACTGCCTGCTCTGGGTTCCCCCGCAGGAAACGCGAGATTTTCCTCGCTCGGGCTGGTCAGTTGAAAAGCCCAAGAGCAGAGCGGCCCGTGGGCGGTGCCGTTCCGCGGGAGCGCGGCGCGTACGGCGGTGCTGGAGCCTTTCCTTCCCAAACGATCCCTCCTGATGATGTTTCTGATCTTGCGCTCTTGTCTCTGCTCTCTCGAAGGTGACGGCCAGAATTTGGTTACCGAAGACGTGACGGTGGTGGAGGGAGACGTCGCCACCATCAGCTGCCGCGTCAAGAACAGTGATGACTCGGTGATTCAGCTCCTGAATCCCAACCGACAAACCATTTATTTCAGGGATTTCAGACGTAAGTTTTGCTTTTCCTTGTTTGAGAACAACTTGTCCTGTGCCTCGCTCGCGCTCGGGAGAAGGCATTTACGGAGATCTCTTCTTTTAATGTATTGCTAGTCACTGAAAGTTTAGTCAATTCTTTAGAGGGTAGATGAGACGGGCAATCATAATCTTTCTCCCTAATGGAAACCTTGATGGTCCCCTTTAAAAGTCAGACTGTCTTACTTTGCAATAGGAATTGATTGTAGTAATTCAGGGTGAATTGCAATTGAGTGCCAAATATTTAGCTGACACAAACAAATCGAACAGGGTGATGCCGAGACAGCACGATGTTCTCAGAGGTAATCTGTTCGGTTCGAAGACTGAAAATTTCAAGAGACTCTGTGCTGCTTCACATCCAAACCAAAATCTCCCGTCAGTGCCGTGTCCGGTGAACGAGTGTGGGTTCGTTTCCTGTTGTGACAATGCCCGAGCACGGTAGCTACGACGAAGTGCTTTAAACTGTGGGCATTAACGTTCCTGCGGGGCTGGGACGCGGCGGTGCCTAAGCACGGCAAGGCACGTTCTCCCCAGGCCTCGTGTGATCCAACGAGGCACGCGGGCGGGCGCTGGCTTGTGCCGCGCTTCGAGGCCCTCGTGTTCGGCTGGGGAGACTGAAAGTTCTCAGCTTCCAAAATCGAGAAAGAATTGGGGCGGTCGTTACTGGTCGGGAAACAAATTTTACTCTCTGCCCTTCTCCCAATTTGTCTTTGGCGCTGTCCCTAGTCCACTGGCTGCATACGGCCAGAATCGAGTCCAGGTAGAAGCGTATTTTCCCAATAAGCATTTTACCCACACGTCCCTGAGCCATCTGATAATAAAACCGTGTCCAAAGACTTGATCCTGTGCCCGGTGAGTTGCTTGTCCCATTCTTTGTAATGGGCTGGGACCGGCAATGTCTCCGGGGCCAGACATCAAGGTAAGAAGCAGGGTGGAAGCTGCAGTCGGGGACCGCGGGGGCTTGTCGCGGTGCCGCTGCTGTTTTGCTGGCCGTCGGCCCTGTTGTGCGGCGAGAGGGGACCCTGCGCCTCTCGAGGCGGTTGCTAAGGGTGTGCTTGCTCCGCAGCGCTGAAGGACAGCAGGTTCCAGCTGGTGAACTTCTCCAACAGCGAGCTCCGAGTGTCCTTGACTAACGTCTCCATTTCCGACGAAGGACGGTACTTCTGCCAGCTCTACACTGATCCCCCCCAGGAAATCTACACCACGATTACAGTGCTCGGTAAGGACCTGGCGGTGCTCGCGGCGACCTTGGCAACCCCTGGATGTGCGGGGCCGGTGGGATGGGGCTCTGCACGGCGTTCGGAGCGAGCCGCCGCTCTCCCGTGGAGGAGCACAGCCAGGATGCCAGCGCTGGGAGCTCTCCTCGCTGGGGACCGGCTTGGCTCTTCGGGAGCTCCGTGCAGCTTAGGACTCGAGCCCGCAGACACGAGGTTTTCAAGGGTCACCAGCAGAAACCAGGCGGGTCATCCGGCGGCATGCCAGGGCCCTCCGTCGCCTTCCTCCCCTGCCAGGTGTCCCTGCTTGCACCCTCAAGCCACTCTTTGCAGGTTACGTCGGGCTGAGTGTCATCCTGGGGTCTTCCCCATTGGGATCGCAGGCTCTGGAGAACAAGCAGCGGGGGGAGCGTGAGGTGTTCTCCTCTTCCGAGCCGCTCTTTCCCGTGGGCAGGTCGCTCGGAAAGGCTGCGAGGTCGCCCTGCCCTCTCTGGAGCGGGGTTTCGCAGCAGCCTTCGCTTGCAGACAGCCGGCAAGGACTGGCTCTTTGTGCCGGCGCTGCTCCGTCGGGTGTCCGAGTGGATCGTCCGGCTTGTGGGGACCTGCTCCCCTCCCGGACGGAGCGCGTGTGCAGCCAAGGCTCGGCAGAACGGCCGGAGCTGGGCGCGAGTGGCGCTGCCCCGGCGCCTGGCTGTTCTCCGTGGGGCGAGGGGAGCGGGGCTTCTGGGGAGGAAGGCAAGACAAGTCACCGCGGCTGCATCTTGCTCGGTGAAACGAGGAAGAAGCCAGCCAGCAAGTGAAAGCCGTGGAAAACGTCCCTCAGTGATTATCCGATATGCAGAGGGAAACTAAATTAAGGTGAATGCTTTGTAGCGGGGTAGAACTGTCCAGTTTATGAAATTTGTGTTTTCAGTAATCGGACCACTCTGGTCACATATCGAATCTTTCTTTCCAAAACGTGGGCGTTTGAGAGGTCCCATTTTGACGACGAATGACGGCACGTCTGCCCATCCCTGATAGTCCTTCAGGGCAGGTGTTACTAACAGCACTGCTGGCAAACCTCCTGCCGCTGTGCAGATGCGTAGGTTGGTGCAGGTTTGTCGGTTGACCCCTATATTCGGTGAAACGTCGAGTTCGTCTGATGGGAAGCGATGGCTTCCTGTTAGCTTTAGCGCGGATCTGTTTCCCGTGTGCGAGCAGGTGAGCTCCCCCCGCTTGGCATCGCGAGGCTGCCGGCTGCCCGCTCCGCTCCGTGCCTCCGGTGCCCACGCCGAGCTCTCGCCCTCCCTTCGCTCCCTCGGGCTCCGCAGGGCTGCGGGCACGTGCTGCCAGCACCCCGACAGCAGCACCCCGACACCAGCACCCACGGGAGCCGCTCGTGCTGCTGGAGCTGCTCCACGGCTCAGCAGCACCTTTAAGAACTGCGAAGAGGAGACCCTGAATCACAGAGGGTGACTTAATGGAAGACCTCACTCGCCGATCGGTTTAAATCTTCCTCCTTTTGTTTGACGGGATTTGGTTCTTAAGTGTTTATACATTGTTTAAACGACGTTTCTGAGCAGCTCTACTGTAGCTGCTCTGTTTATCAGCACCCTCAGTGTCTAGGTGCGCTTCCCCGGCTTGGTCGCCCTCTCCCAGCTCTTCGCCCTGAGCAAACACACTCCGCCGTAGGTGGTTGGATTCCATTTCAGCGCTAACAGTGCTAGGACGGTGTTTGGAATAACAGCACGTGCTTTATTCACCGACAAGCCAGCACTGCGCGTCTCTCCAGCCGGAGACTAAACGCCGTTTTTTGCTGGGGTTGGCTTTTTTTTTCTTTCTTAAACATGAACCATGCCTCAGAATTGAGGGGAAGGTCTCTTGCCTTGCCCCGTACGTGCATTCTTTTCGGGAAGGCCATGCAGCCCGCCCAGCGGGCGCCTGCCTTTCCCCAGCACCCGCAAAGCGGCGCGTGCTTCCTCTTCACCTTCAGCGCCTGCTTGGGCCAAACCTCAGTTCAGGGAGCAGGGGAGGAGGATGGATGGTTATTATTAGAAGGCTAAGGAGGGGACTGTTTATCTTGGGTGACATTTGGACAGAGAGGTTGGGTACCGTGACGCCAAGGATAGCGCGCCTGTCTGTCCTCCGTATTACTGACTCCCTAATTAGGAGGAAAAATGAGCCGGGCGGAGGAGCGGTTCTCCGTGTCGGGGTAGTGCTGCTCCGCCTGGGAGCGCACCCCCCCACCGAGGTCTCGTGGTCATCACTCCGATTTCAATCTATTTCAAGTTCTGATCAAAGAGTAATTTTGCTGACCTGCTGCTAATGATAGTCGCCTCGGAGAGCAGAGCAAAGTTTGGAGGCCTCCTTCTTTCTCGTCGGCGTTTGCTGTAGCAGTGCGCTCCCCCTCTCTCCCGCGTACTTTAACGTCTTCGGTGACACAATATGTAGATTTATTCGTGCTTAATTGGAACATGTGAAAATCTCAGACGTGTAGCCCATTCTGTTCTTTTCAGAGAAAAGCCACAAGTGACTAATTAGTCCATTTGATCATCTGGATGGTATTTATACATATTTGTTCTTCATTAGCTCAGAAACATGTTAGTCACATTTGAACTGTGCCGTTGCTTCATCATACGGATCAGAGCGAGGTTGCGTTTCCCTTGGAAGCTCTGGGGCTTTTTGGAAACTGGGGCTCGGTGCTCTACGAACTCTTGCTGTTCGTTTTTCTCCGGTTTTTGCCTCGCTAGCTGTGGGTGCTTTCCCAGGGAAGAGGTGCCTTGTTTCTGCACCTTAATTTTTAAGCCCGTTCGTCACATCTCTGGGTCGGGCTGCCGTGGCGGTTATCCCCCCGAAGTTGTAGCCCCTTACTGAATGTTACTGGATTATTTTTCACTGAGATAGGCTTCTGGCTTTGTGTTTTGTAAGACGGGACGTGCCTGGGGAGGAGGGCAGGTTGCCATCCTGAAGGAGCTGCGGCGCGATGCGGGCGCCTGTCGCTGGACGCAGGGCGCTCTCCTCCCTCGGGGACGGTTCGGTATCTGGCTGGGGGGGGCGCGAGGGGGGACACGCTGTTGTTCCAGAGGCGATGGCACGCCGCTCTGGGCTCGGGCTCGGGGGCTCCTTGAGCGTCTTGAATGAGCTTGACGTTTGCTGGCCTGCTTCCACTCCTCACGGCTGAGGCTCGAAGCTGAACAGCAGGAGAGAAAAATTGCCTCACGAGGTTAGAGGCACGGTAAGTAATGCGCTTCCAAATGTCAGCTTTTGTGTTTCCTCTCCTTGTCAGAAAAAGTCAAGAAATGTGCACGGAGTCAAGCTGTATTTTTAAAGAGCGACATACACGACCGAGTAGCGCGGAAGACTAAAGCTCTTCCCCGGAATGCTGCCTGCCTGGGAGAGAACAGAAAGTTACAGATTTGATAAATAACAACCTGGGAAACTACAGTGATTATGAGGCGGAGAGCGAGAGCGCTTGCTCTGATTACTGTGAAACCGCCTATCAAAGGATTTGATCGATTGAAAGATCAAATAAACGCTGGTGGCTAGTTTCCTCTCCTAGATGTTACGGGCTTTCCTGAAGGTTTTCTCTGGTGTTAGTGATCGAAAAGTGGGGTTTTTTTCATCACGTATGTGTTGTGTTGTGTTGTTTTTTTCATTGTAGTCCCGCCACGCAATTTGGTAATTGATATCCAGAAGGAAATCGCCGTCGAGGGAGAAGAGATTGAGCTGAACTGCACTGCCATGGCCAGCAGACCAGCCACCACCATCAGATGGTTCAAAGGAAACAAGGAGCTAACCGGTAGATGTATCCTCTCAGTCACTTGCTTTTTTCTGAGAGCTGAAACGATTTATGTAACGCTGGGGATTTGTTCTCTGTTGCTAGTTTGAGAGGGAAAAAAAAGGAAAAGACAAAAAAAAAAAAAAAAAGGTAGAGCGAGTTGCTGCAAGCGCCAGCTCAGGAACAAAAGAGTATGTGGGCAGACAGATTATTCTCTAGCACAGAAGCGCTGAACTCCAGTTGGTCCTCTGCCTACCTGCCAGACTGGAGTGCAGGGTTCTGGAGGCTTTCCGTTGCTGCAGGTGACCTTGAGGAGCCCCAGAGCTGCACGTTGAATTTATTTCCGCAGTGGCTCGCGTAGCTTTCTGCCCTGTTGTAGGTACGAGTAGGGTCGCCTGCGCTTTGGGCTGTAAGGATTGTCAGTTCACCTTCACGTCCAGCTCTCTTGGCGATGGAGCATTTTCTCTGTGTTCAGTTGAATATTCATAGGAGAAGGGTTTCTCTGACTCCCTGAAGTCTGGTTGCTCCCAGTATTTGCACATTCAAGTCACTGACTCCGATTGCGTGTGATGTGCTGTTGGTTTAAGTCTGCACGTGGACGTGAGCTTGGCTGACACCACCTCCGTGCTCTACGCGGGCCGAGACGCTGAAGGGCTCTCTGCAGAAGCCCAGACTCGTCACCGCAAATCCGCGCCCCTACAAGGGCGAGATGAAGCCCTCTCCTCAAGTGCAGCACCCGCCAGCAGCCGAGCAGGCCACGTGCCTGCTGCCCCGCGGGTTCCCGGCGCCGGTTGCCACCGTCGTGGTGCGCAGCTCTTGCGGTGACCCCCTTCTGGGGGCTCCTCGTGCCTGACCGCTCCGGCTTCTTGACCGAGTCTTCTTGTGTAGGCAGTTGACCCCCAGCCTTCCTTTCTCTTTGAAGACTCTCGAGCTGGGGAGCAGCTCCTTGCAGTACCAGCTCACCCTGCCGATCCTTTGGATGTTTTTTTTTAAGGAGAAATAGAGAAAGTGAGATGCTTGCTTGAGGGCCGTGGGTAGCAGGAAGGCGTGCCTTTGCTGGTCGGAAAGCCCATCCTCTAAATAGCAAGGGCTGTCGCTTTCTGCATCCCTCGTCCTCTGTTACACTTTAATACGTTACACAGAAATATTTGGTGTTTGAAAGACCTCTGCTACAAAAGTTACTCTTAACGTTTTGACTGTGAATTCTTAAATAGAAAGCCACAGATAAGAGTGTTTGCAAACGAAGTGGAGGTGTGTTGTCAGCAAGCGCGTGCTGAGTTCCTGGAAAAGCCCTTTCTCTCCTGTCTGGTCCTGTCTTTTCTTCCTCCTGGCTTCGTGCCGTGCGTTGCGGCATCCTTCGGGCAGCCCGTCCTGAGCCGCTTCCCCCGGCCACCGCTGCCGCTCGCGCTGGAACGCTTCGGCCTATCAATGCTCCTTTTAATTAAGTTAATCTGTTTAATCACTTTTCTAGCTGCTTGTTGATGCAGGAGGGGGAGGAGATTTGTAGCTCATTGATTGAGGAGTTTGGGGAGCTGGGGACGGTGTAAAGGGGGCCGTTAATTGTTGCGGTAACGCGGTGTGGACTTCAATGGGCAACGCGCTCCCGGAGAGAGGCGTTGCTCCGCGCGCGCCTCGCTGGCTGCGGGCGGGGGACACGGTCCCTCGGAGGGGCCGTCTCGCCCGGGCACGGGAAGGAGGGAGGTGGGCTGGGGGCGGCGGGCAGTCCCTCTCCGGTGACGCTCTGTCCTCTCCCCGGCAGGCAAGTCCGAGGTGGAGCAGTGGTCCGACATGTACACGGTGACCAGTCAGCTCCTGCTGAAGGTGGGACGGGAGGACGATGGCGTCCCCGTCATCTGCTTGGTGGATCACCCTGCTGTCAAAGACTTGCAGACTCAGCGTTACCTGGAAGTCATGTGTGAGTAGCAGAGCTTTTAATTCCCTTACCGCGTAAGATTGCTCACTGAGGAGCTCGGGAACCGTTCGCTGTGTGATAAAACTATGGCGTAGATGGGGTTTGTATCCTCTTATTCAAAAGGGGGAATGAAAATGTTGGGTACCACTTCCTGGGTTAAGCCACCACTTCTGGCCCTTCGGCAAGGGGATAAGTACGCACCTTCATTCTCTTAGGGAATAACTCTCTGTACGTAGAATTTGCACCATCAGAGGTTCCTGGCTGGGCTTCATAATTGTCAGAACAGATTAAATCTGAGTATTTTGCTTTTAGCAACCTACTTATCTCTTTGAAAAGTGCTTCTCTGCTACCACATCAAAGCGACTGGCCACCAGTGCGAGTCTACTGGCACAACCCCTCAGTACTGCCTGTTGTGAACATACAGCACCGACAGGTCTTCTAATATCAGAGTAACGGGAATTACGTGGAACCTGCTGATGAAGGCCTACCTATTTTCTAGGATGCTCCTGACGTGTTCAGTGTTGATAATGCCTTCCGCGTCCTTTAGGGACCGCGCTGCCGCGCGGGTCGTTACCAGGGTTGACGAGCAGGTGCCGGCGGCCCCGGGGGCACGGTGCCCGCCTGGCCGCTGCGGGAGCCGCCGGAGCTGCTGCCGGCGCACACACCACGCAGCAGGCGGCTCCCAAACCGAGTCGGGCGGGCCCGGCAGCCGCGCTGGGGTGCTCGGGAAAACCGGGCCGAAGCAAAGCGTTTCTTTGTGTAGGCTCGCTTCAACCGCAGCGTGCCGTTAAAAGGGGAGGAGGAAGTTTGGTATTAATTTATTTCATCTGCTTCGTTATGTAGTTTCATTATGAACATCTTGGTTACAATTCTCATATCTCTGAAACTAGCGGGAAGTAATGTTCCTGTAATGAGGAAAACAGGAATGATCAGATACTACCTAAATTGGCAGATACGAGATTTCTTGTGACTGTGCTAATGTGTAATTCATTTATGCAAACTTAATGCCCATTAACATTTCTTGTAGAGCTCCATTAGCTTTAGTAATACATTAGCACCTTTGTGAGGCCTGATCAAATACTTAACGGGGGGAGGAAATAAAAAAAATCCCATCTCCCTTGTTATGTGGAGCTATGGGAACCTCGCGGGGTTTCTTCCCCTTGGTTGCCAGGGCACCAGCCTACCTTCGGGCTTCCTTCCAGGAATTCCTCCGCGATCCTGCTCGTTTGATGGGACGGGAGAGGGCCACCGTTTCTGCAAAACACCTTAACATTTTCTCCATTCTTCCTCAAACACCGCCCTTCTCGCGTGCGTTCCTTTGCGGGGTTCCCGGGGCCACGGAGGCGACGCGCCCGTGAGGCGCAGCTCTGGGGGTGCCCCGCGGGACGCGGGCCTCCTGCGCCGCGGCCCCCCCGGCCCCCCCGGGGGCTGTTCTGGGCTGGCTCCTGGGAGCGCAGCCGGCGCCCAGCCCGCTCGGGAGGCGACGGGCGAAGGCCTTCCCGACTGCTTCGGGCTGACGTTCCGGCCGAAGTGAAGCTCTGAGCTTGTTAAAAGTAATTCCGTTTCTGTGTGGGGACTTGACCCCCGTTAGTCCAGTGGGCTCCTTCAGTGGCAGCAGCAGATGGCTTGAGGGGAGAGGACCGGCAGAAGAACATGTCGTGCATCATAACCTTGCGGCTCCCAGCAATTAGCGGCTTTGGGACTTCAAGTGCTGGAGCGCGTCCAGGCGTTTGCACTGAGTGCCTGCTGTTGGGCCTGAACGTAGGGTAGAAAAGGCACTTGCGGAGCAAACTTTTACCCTTGAGCTCTTCCTGCTTCAAGCTGATGATTCGCTGGCCGATGGGAGGGCGTGAGCAGGAGGAGAATCCTCCTGTCTTCACGGACGGGCAACCCAGGACAAGCTCCCGCGGCCACGGGCTCGGCCTCGCGAGGAGCGTGGGCTCCCACAGCCCGGCCTCTCTGACGCGCTCCCGGTTGCCCCGCAGACGTGGGGTTTGCAGCCGGAGCTGTTGGGGCGGCTCTGCCGAGCAGGACGCGGCCGTGCGGGCGCGCCGAGGGCCCGAGCTCCGCCGGCACCCAGCTGCCTCGCTCGCTCCAGCCTCCGCTCGCGCGTCCCCACCCCGCTCGCCCTGTCCGTTCCCTCCGAGGGCACGGCAGATCCGCCTCTTCAGGACATCAGCAGGGCCCAGGAATATCTTCTTCTCGGCAGAGGTTGTATTTCTCCGTCTCTTAATGTATCCAACTCGAGCGTGAAATGCGCTGGGGAAGGACAGGAGGGTGATGGATGGAGCCTTCTCAGATAATGAGGTACTCTCTGTCTGACTAAATTTTGAGTCACGAGTACGGAGATTTTTTTTTTTCCAACATGCAACTCAAAAGTTGTGGGGTTTTTCTTTAGGAAAAAAACAAGCACAGAGCAAAAAAACCCGCAAGGTTTGCAAAGTGGGGGAGGGAGGGGTGGAACATCGGTCTCCAGAGGGAACTGTTCCCAACGCAACCTGCAGAAGGGAGCAGAGCCAGGGCCCGCGCGCAGATGGTGCCCTTCGGAGGCGAGCGAGCTCGGGAACAATGGCTTTAAAAACAATTCATGGGGATGTTTTCTTCTGTGTCGCAGCTCAAAGTAAACTGCAGCCTTCGGGGCTTTGGGTTGTTAAGTTTCCTAGCCGCCATCAGCTGGGAGCTGCCCGTCGTCGGCCTCCTCGCCCCAGGGCTGGGGTCGCTCCGGCTTTCCTGCGCCAGGAGGAAGGACGGACGCGACGCCCGGGGTGGGGGGACGGGGAGGCGGGGGGGAAGGGCAGCCCCGGCCCCTCTCCCGCCTGGGCCAGGCTTGGCGATGCCGCTGTTGGCTGCGCTGCAGCCGGGGCGTCCTGCTGCCGCCCTGTCCCCACCCTGGCTGCTCCCAGGCGGCTTCTCGGGGGCGGGGGCCGTCGCGTCTAGGGCTGGGGGGGAGCGGGGACGGGGGCTCCGCTCCTCCCCTTGTGCCTGGGGGGCTTCGGCTAGGGCAGAGTAAGAGTGCGTGGTCTGAGCAGGGCGCCGTGATGCGGGCTGAGCGCTCGTTGCTGCGGCCCAAGCTAAACTTTGAAAAGAAATAGTGGATTTGCAGCACAGGTGCTGGGAGGAAGGACTGTTTTGCTGCCGTTGGCGAAACTGCGAGTCAGGTGGGAGAGAAATGCTTCCGCGGGAGCACGGGGTGTGTTACTCAAACGACACCTCCGCAAAGCCGCGCTCCGTAAGGCGCATGAAACCCTCCTGGTCGCGCTTCTCCAAAGCAAACAGAGGGTGGGCAGCGGTGCCGCGCAGTCGCAGTCGCGGGGCTGCAGCCCCCTGCCCCGGGTGGCCACCGCGCGCGGCCCCTCGCAGCCCCTCGCCCTGCCGGGAGCCGCTGCCTTCCCGGGATTCAGAGCCGTCAGCCAGGGATGGAGGACTGGTGCGTTGGGTGTAATTCCAGAAAGGAAATGGAGCAACAAAATGCATTAAAATATCATTAAGGAATTGAATAGAACCAGATCTTCTCGGAGACGTTCTGAGTTCAGCCTTTGTGGTACTTTTCCGCGTCTCATTATGTGGTACTGGCAGGGAAAGCGTCAAAGTCTTGATTTGGCATTTTCTCTGGGTTGGTTTCTTTGGCTTTTCTTGAAGTTACAATTAATTGCACATTCGTTTTTATCATACCTACACGTGTACTTTTAAAATACGCATTGACGGAATCTGTTGCAGCCTCCTCGGTTACGATGGGAGAATTTTTTGCGCCCAATTATGTTAAAAATCAGCCGTATCTACGCACGCTGTTGCATCTCCAGCAATCCTTATATTTCTATCAAGTACAAGTATTAATTGCATAGTATGCAGTGAAGTGATTAGCATCAATGTAATTTATCATCTGGAGGTTTCTAAAAACGAATAAATGAGTTGTTTTGTTCAGTGAGGTGTTGACCCCTTCAGAAACTTTGATTTAAAGCTTTTCCTTTTCTTTTAGTAAATATGAAAAGCACCACAATCAGCCAAGTGTTCAGTTATTTGATTTTCTGGGGCATTAGCCACTCTTGTTTGTGACATTTCCCAGTTGGGTGCTCGTTTGCAAGCTCATTAATGAGGTTTTCTCGGAGGAATGCTGTTGGGAGCGATGAGCGCACAGCACGGCCTGGGCTCTGCCTTCCGCGAGCCTTAGGCAGCGTCACGTACTTGAGTATCGAGGGGGGAGATGTCCGTGCCCCCCGCTCCCCTCTGCCTTCGGCTGTCCTCTTCCTGCTGCGAGCCAAGTGTTTAACTCCTTTAGCCGAGGGTGAGTTTTGCGAAAGTCGTGTTCGGGGTCCAAAGGCTCTTCCAGACAAGCTGTGAACTGCCGGTCCCGGGCTTATTCGCCGTTTGAAACGCGGGGTCTCTTTGTTTAATAGGTTTCCGCCTACTGCCTGAAAGTCAGCGGTGCAGACACTTGCCCTTGCAAAAGGTGAGGAGACGACACGGCATTGCCGGCTCGGGGCTGGCTCTGCCGCAGACTTCATTTCCTGATAAGCAAACCCGCTCGATTTCCAGATAAAGGTGGCAGTCGTATTTCCCCCTGCGTTGCCTTTGCTGGCTTCTTTTACCGCTGAGGAACGTGCTCCTCCTGCTCCTCCCCTAGCACGCCGGTGTGGTACGATACAGAAACTGCCAGAACGCGGCGTTTTTTACGCGTTGCTTTGGGCCACGGAGCAAAGCAGAGGTGAGGGGCTGGATAAAACGGTGCCGGTCTGAAGAAAGATGGCTAAAGCCTTGTCAAATCTGGGTGATTTTGAAGCTGGCGTTACCCGAAGTGGGCAGGAGCTCTGCTTGCCCTTCTCCCGAGGATGCCGCCTGTCATCATTTTTGCCAAGAGCTGCCCGACAGGAATTAATACAGCAATCGGGAAACGGGTGTTCGGGCTTGCGTTGGCTCCCTCACTCCGCGGCGCAGGCAAGGGCGCGCTCAGCTGAATCGCTGGAAGGTTCCATCGCGTCGTTCTCCCTGCCGGCAAACCGGCCGGCGCTGCGGGCGGGGCCGAGCGGCGCGGTGCAGGGCCCGGGCCCCGCTGCGGGAGCGAGTGTCTGCCTCCGCCCCGAGGGCGCCCGCGGTTTGCTCAGTGAGCTGCGACGGGGGGCCGAGAGAGAGGAACCCCGCGCTGGAGACGTGCGGAGGGGCTGGATGGCCCCTCTGGCCGCGTGTCCGCTCTGGTGAGCGTTGAGGAGAGCCTCGGCGTGGCCGGACGCCGCCCGTTCGGCTCCGTGGTGGGGCAGCGTGAGCCCCAGCCTCCTTCCAGAGCTCGTCTTCCGCATTCGTGTCCTCGGGCGGGTTTCCCCCCCCGAAGCAGGAGGTGGGAGGAAGGCTTTCAGCTCCCTTCCCACCGCAGCGGGGAGCGCCTCGGCCGGGAGGGGATGACCGGTGGACGTTGGCGAGAGTCGCGAGTCGCCTGGGCTTCGGAAAAGAAGTAGTGTTTCCCACAGTGCTTCTCCTGGGTTATTCATGAGTGCTTTCGGTGCAGATTTTGTGTTGGGAGCGGACAGATTGCTGCATTGTAGGGGCCGTATCGCCGTCACAGAGATGGCGGGAGGAGCAGGAGCTGCTGCGGTGCGAATGAGTCAGCTCCGGTACGATTGGCCTGGCCCCAAAGAACACGCACGTTGAGTGCAGTGCACGTTTCCTGGAGCAGCTTCTAGGAGCTCTCGTGCGCAGTGAAATTACTGGATACGACCACAGAGGTAAATTGGTGGCACGGACCGTCCTCATTATGCATGTGCTGGTCGTGTTTCAGGGGAGAGGCACGAGGGCGAGAACGCCACCGCCTTTCCCATGCCTTCCTGCCTTTCCCAGGAAAACCGACCGGCCTTTCACTGGGGTAGGTGAGCGCACTCGCAGAGAGCAGCGTCCCCGCCGGCCGCCACGTCGGAGGATTTCCCCGCAGGGCGGGTGGTCACAGAAAACCCGTGCCGCGGCCGCCTCCCGAGCGCTCGCCGCCCAGCCGGGGGCTCCGGAGGTCGCACCCGCCGCTCGGGTTGGGGCGGGGGGGGAGGCTGGAGGTCTGCCCTCGGCCCGGCTCGGGGGGCACGGGGGCGCGGCCGAGGGTCCCGAGGCTGCCCCAGCCGGAGCGTCGGGGTACCCGGGCGCACTGAGGAGCTCGGGCTTGCCGAGGCCGTCTGGGGAGGGGCTGCGAGCCGGTGAGCTTGCCCCCCTCGGAGACGGTAGCTTGGCCCTTATGAAAGGAAAGGGGTACAATTAACAGGCTTTCGCTTTTGTAAGGCACCGAACTCGGCGTAACGTTTTATCTCGGCTGATTAATGAGATCTAAGCGTTGTCGATGGAGCGCACATTTAAATGGATTAAGAAATCGCTAACTGGCAGATCTCAAAGGACAGTCGTTAGGAAGTAATCAGCAAACGATGGTATTTTTAGAGTGAATGCACTGGCCTGGGTGCCTGGCCCGATGCTGCTCAGCGCTCCCACGAAGCGTTTGAGGTTCTTAAAAAGTCACCGCTAACAATCTTTGCTGATGGCGCAAAAACTGGGCGAGCGGCTAGTCGGGGGAGGAATGGGGAGAAATGCAGAATCACTTGGGCGTTTGGGGGTTAGACCCCCGGCAGGTGGGTGGGCGCAGCCCGGGGCGGCCTGGAGGGGGGAGATGTGGCGGCTGGAGGCGTCACCAGCCTCTCCCTTGCGTGAGCATTTAACATACTGGTTTTTCAGCCCGGGGGGGGGGGGGGGGGTGGGGAGTGGGGAAGGAGCATTTTTCGGCGCGGGGCCGGGCTGGCACACACCGAGGCTGACCGGCGGGGCGGGGAGCCGTCCCCTCCGGGAAGGCTGCGGTGCCCGCACTTGCAGGCGCACGGTGCGCCTGTTGTAAAAGAAATCTCATCAAACGCCGAATGGGTTTGTAATAAGTTTTTCAAATTGGTTGCTGCTGCAGCGTAACCTTTAGACTACTGGTATTTAACCTTGTATATCACTCTTAGCTTTTGAATGAATTTAGCTTAATAAAGGTGCCTTATTAAATTACCAGGCTGGTTTTTTAAGCCGCTAGAAATAAGCGTACTACGAAATAGCTTTGGGTTGTTAGATCTAATTGGCTGCCAGCGGAGTATGGAGCGGCTTAGATGCATAGATGCGAGAGTTTATGTAGTAATCCAGCGCTGTGATATTACGAAGTTCCAAGTCGAGGATTTCAGGACCTGCTGGAATGCACCTGGTGGTAAAAGCTCTGCTGCTTCTCGCCTGGCGTCCTCGGTCGCCACCCGAGGTAGTCCCGGCCCCGGATTACAGAGCCGCAGATGTCGCCGCTAGAATGTGGTGGCTGATAGGTGGCAAACTGCGCGCCTGGGCATTGGAGGCCATCACAGCTTTGCCAGGGTGGGCTGCTAAGTGTCACAGTGCCTGTGTAGGAGCTGAGCTGGGGATCCCGCAGGTGCTCGGCGTTTTGCAGAGCTTTCCTAACAGAGTCTGTCGTCTGGAGAAAGCAGAGCGACTCCGTCGGAGCCGGGACGCTCAGCGGCAGAAGCGGAGCTTAAGCTTCTCCAAAGGCATATCCGTCACAACGGGAAGACGCCACCCCCAAACCCTCGGCTGAAGCGAGGGAGATTTTATTTTGTGTACCGTGAGCCTAATTAAACTGTCGGTTCTCCTGCGTGCCCAGCTGCCCTTCAGAATCCTTCGGACTTGCGGAGCATTCTGCTAAGTGCCCGCTGTAATTGCGGGCGTGCTGGCGAGCCCTGCTTAGGAGAGGCGTTCCCTGGGAGAACTCCCTCGGGAATGCTCTTGCCTTCACGAGTGCGCGCGCGGGCACCGCGAGGGCCCAGATCTCTGTTGGAGGCGACACCTCTGCCGTGTCGGCGCGAAAACGGGGCCGTGCGGCTTTCGATTGCCTCAATGACGGCTGGGGCTGGAGAGCTGAGACGGGGGGGCTCAGCTCCCGCAGCTCGGGGAGAGCTCACCGAGCTCGCAGATCCCTCTCGGTGCTGCCAGCCGTCAGCGCGTCCCTCTTGATTGCCATAAGTGATCGCCAGCCGGGAGACAGCTCGTTAGAAATACCAAAACGTGTCCAACGACGAGGGGACGGGGCGCCCCAGGAGCGGCGGGCTGCAGCAGACGCTGCGCACAGCACCGGGTGCTGTAGTCTTTGCGTCCCCGCGTCGGTCGGGCCGGAGGGGGTTTCCCCCCCCGCCAAGGGCCCGTTTTCCCTCAGGCTGGTGCCGGGGACCCACCGGGCGCTTCCCCGTCCCCCGTCCTTTGCCCGCGGAATCGGGGCTGGGCCCGTCCCCCCGCTGCCGGCCTGCCGAGACGCCCCAGCTCCGCGGCCGCCAGGAGCATCCGCGCTGGGGATTAGGTTATGAAATGTTTGCGGTGTAGTCATCTCAGGAGAGGATTTACTCGTGTAGCTTATTCCATTACTGAAAATTATGAGAGTTTAAATTGGTTAAATCCTGACACAGATTTCTTTTTTTTTTTTCTCCCTAATCTCTATTATTCCATAGGAAGCATGTTAATGAGTTAAACGCAGTTAATAAAATGCAGCAAGCCAATATTTTTGGTAGCAGTTACTCTCAAAGGAAATAGAAACATTTAAATGGTTTCAACCTTTATGCATACTGATTTTTTGCCCGCCTTTGTTCCTTACAGTTGAGTAAATTCCTGAAAAATATATATGGCTTAATGGCATTTGTAGCACTGAATTGATTTCTTGCACTGATAACATTTTAGCTACAGCTTAGATGGCGTTTTTAATCTGTGTTTCAGTTGTGGGAGGTAATGAATTTTTTAATTGTGGACTCTAGCTTTGCAGTAGGGCTTTCTTTTTCTCCTGCAGGGTCCTACTAAAGTGTTTCTGAGTTGGCTCCCTTGCTATAAACGCTTTAATTCTCTGTGTTTATTTTAGGATTTAGAAGAGCTTCATTTGGACGAAATAACACCTTCTGTTGTTTAAACAAAAGCAGCAGTGGCTGTGACTCCTTTTTGTGTTTCTAACAAGCCTCTCTTGTAAAGCCCAGCGTATTAACATGCGTGGACGCCGCGTGTTGTCATACAGTAATATATGATACAGGATAAAACCTATCAATTCCGGGCACCGCGGATCCTCTGCTTTCACCTCGGCGTGAAGGCAGAGGAGGCCTTTTAGCTTGAGCGAGTTCAGAGATGAACTCCAGCGCAGCAAAGCATATTTCCTGGGGAAGCATGGTGCTCCGGTCGGGGGGCGAGGTGCTGGTGCCCCCCCGCTTTTCCTGCAGCCCCCTTCATTTTCCTGCAGTCCCCAGTTTCCTGCAGCCCCCCTCATTTTCCTGTAGCCCCCCCTGTTTTCCTACAGCCCCCCCCCGTTTTCTTGCAGCCCCCCCCCCCTTTTCCTTCAGTCCCCCCGTTTTCCTGGATCTCCCCGTTTGCTGCAGCCCCCTCCCTTTCCCTGCAGCCCCCCCTGTTTCCCTGCAGCCCCCTTCTCCTGCGGCCGGCACTGCCTCCCGCCTCGGGCGGGCACCGATCGCGTCGGGGCCCGCCGCCGCGACTGACGCCGCGATGTTTTTGCCCTGCAGATAAGCCCCAAGTGCGGGTGTCGCAGAATTACCCGGTGCAAGGCCTGACGAGAGAAGGGGAGCCGCTGGAACTGACGTGCGCAGCCTTTGGAAAACCACAGTAAGTTGGCCACTTCCCCGGGGCTGGCCCAGGGTGCCCGGCGGGGACGGGGTCCCGCTGCGGAAGCACACGGGCGTTTGTTTGGGCTCTGCTGCTGTCGCAGACGCTCGCTGTGCCATTCTCTGCTGCGACGACGATGCAGCAGCGTGGGAGAGAGGAGGCGCTTTCTGCACTTGGGCATCTGCTGCGCCCCCGAGGCCTCTATTCCGCTTTGCACTGCTTGGTGTCTCGCGCCAAGGGCTCCGAGGCGGGCTCCACGGCGCAGCAAGGCTGGGGTGCAGAAGGGCAGGGAATGCCTTGGGTGGCAGCCGGTTGCAATTCCTCTGCCAAAGCGGGGCCGGGGGCCTGCGCGCTGAGCCCGCTGAGGTGCCGGCGCGCAGCAGCGAGGCCGGCCCCAAAGAGGTGAGCCCTGGTAGAAGTGGAAAGGATCCCTGAGGTAAGGCAGTCTGTCTTTCTGCTCGTCTTGACTGTGTGATGATTTTCCTCCCTGTCGGTGCCCTGTGTGGTTTTGATGAAACGCAGGTTTTATTCTTCTCTTCTTGCCATGCCCTTGAGGCTTCCTTACGTAGCGAAGAAGTTTACGCGTCAGGAAAATCCTGGCAAGGGAGGGTCGATTTTCTTCCGCACTTTCATTGTTGTTCTAATTTAAGTTTTGTCAACCTTTTTTCCTTTGTTCTTTTTTTTTTTTTTTTTTTTTTTTTTTTTTCCCGTTTTATTTTAAAAAAACTTTGTCTTCCACTCGGATTTATGGCTGTCAAGTACTTGCTATCCTTTTTTATTTTCATCATGCCCATAAGCTTTCCGCCCCCCCGGGATGTGCCAGCGCCTCCCCGGTAGCGTGCCCCGAGCCGAGGTGTCACTGCGGCGGTAGTGGGGCACCTCCGCGGGAGCCCACCTCCTCCCCCCCAGATTATTTGGCCAGGTTCCTGCTTCCCAGTTTCTTCTGCTCGGCACGGGGCCGATTCCTTCCCCGTACACTAGAGACTGGCACGTCCCCTGCTGAATTCCATTTTAGTATCTGCTCCCCGCTCAGAGTCTGTCGGAGCCCCTTTGCATTCCCCCTCCCCTGGGTAACTGCAGTTCCTCCTCCCGTTTGCTATCATCTGGGAATTTAATGAATAGGCTCCTTTACCGTTTTTTTTTTCCTTCCAGGCTCTGAATAAGACATACACATGTTAAATAAGGCAGACACTTCTCCCCAGCAGCATGCCACTTAACGTTACGGTGATGCTAGTAATGTGCTAGGAATTCGCCTATGTAGGTCACTTTACCTCGTGTCTCTCCAAGCGCAAGAAAACACACAGTAAACTAATGGGCTGTGTTAGCTCTGTGTTTTTAAGACGGAGAGATTTTCTGAAATCCTTTACAGAGGTTTAAGGTGAACAGGGATGTTTCTCCCGTTAAACGAAAGAATTTCTCTGCAAAATTTGGCAACGTCAGCACTGGGGGAGGGAAGCTCAGAGGAAAACAGAAGACCAGAGAGCAGAAGTTTCTATTTAGGCGCTAATACAGCTATTTTGTTAGGTTAGACAGAACCCCCCCCAAAGAGCTGTGACAAAAGCGGGAAGACGCCGAAACGGTCACTTTTAGGACATCCAGGGCGAGACACTTCTCCGCGCAACAGGCTGCTGCGTGGTTGAGGCAGCGTGGGGCACCTTGGGACTCCAAAGCCAGGAATAACCTTTTGAAAACCGTAGCCAGGAGCACCAGAGCCCTTTGCACCCCCGTTGGGGTTGCGCCCCATTTCTGCCGGCTGGCGGGCCGCCGGCGGGGAAGCCGGGAGGAGCGTGCCGAGCCCCGCTCCGACCCCTGGCGTCGGCTCGGTAGCGGGCAGCCGGCGCCCCGCTGGCTTTGCTGCGTGTTGGATCCGTCCCAGCAGCGGGGCTGGGGTGCTGGAACCTCGGGCGCTTCTGCAGCGTGGCAGCGCCGTGCCGTGGGCGCGGGGCAGAGCCCGAGCTGCCGCCTCCCGCGCCCCCGGCAGCGTCCGCCCTGCGAACTGCGGCGCTAGGCAGGCTGCAGACCGCTGCGCTCCCTTGCACGAGCTCGCTGCTGAGCGGCCCCGAAAACGCTGTCTTTTTCTTGCCGGGGAAGGCTGTCGCAGGAGCAGCTGATCCGTGCCCTTCCTGCTGCTTAAAGACTATAATAATAATAATTTTTTTAAAGAGAGCCCCATCCCCCGAGCCCCACAGCACTCGGTTTCTTTACTAGCCCTAGCAAAACAGGCTAATTTCGTCCCCTAAACGATGCAGACATGGCACGTTTTGGTTCCGCTGGCAAAGGGATGCCGTCGCCCAGGTGGGAGTGGGGGAGAGGAGGAGGAGGAGGAGGAGGAGGAGGAGGAGGAGGAGGAGGAGGAGGAGGAGGAGGAGGAGGAGGAGGAGGAGGAGGAGGTTCCTCTCTCCTGGCAGCTGAAACGCTCTTAGCGAGCGGCACGGCCCCCGCTGAGGTAGCTAGCTCCATCTCATCGCTTTGTGGAGGGGCTCAGACTTCACCAGAATGTACCTGTTCTGCCACATGCTGTCCAGATCGACCCTCAGAGCACCCTCTGGATGCACGTTTAGTCCACAGCCTCAGAGATTTCAGGTTTACCGAATAAGCGAATGATTAACCACTAATGAACTTTCTTCCTGCTTGCATTAGTGCTTTCAGAAAATTTAAGGTCTGGATACAGTTTCCTGTTGGGTTAAACTAAATTTAAATTGAGGAAGCCCGACAGCATCTGGGCTTGAGTAGCGTAAAAAAGTATGTGTTGTTTCTTTACAGTTTTTCTTGGTTTGGGCTTTCTGTCTGTGGATGAACTATTGAAGATGCCATCTTTACCATAGGAAAATAGTAATGTGACTGTTTCTTTTTCTCCCTCCTCTGTAGGCCTACGGACATGAGGTGGTTAAGAGTAGATGATGAGATGCCTCAACACGTTGTAGTGTCTGGTTCAAACCTTCTCATTAGTAACCTAAACAAAACAGATAATGGTACATACCGCTGTGAGGCTTCAAACGCGGTGGGGAAATCACATGCGGATTACATGCTGTTTGTATACGGTACGTGAGAAAAACCACCGTTCTTCTAGACTCATTTACACATAATTGCAACATACCGCGCTCTGAAAGCTTTGACAGAAGTTAACGTTTTGCTTAATACAAGATTTACAGATAGCTCCCGACACGTGTCCCTTATGCCGGGCTGGGGTAGGGGCTGGAAAACCATTTCTTTGGCTTCTGTACCTCTCGGTGTCGTGCCCGGGGCGCGGAGCCTGCTCTCCTCCGGAGCAGGGCTCGCGGGCTGGCCGCCGCACGCGGGTGCTCTCGGCGGGAGCCGAAGGAACAGCCAGAGCAGGGGCACGCGGAGAGCTGGGAAGGTCGCGGGCCTGACGGTTCTCCTAGGACTTCTCCCGTAACTCCTTTGCCTGTTGGTAATCCCTTCTCCAGTGCCCGCAGCAAGGGTCCGGGGGGCGGGGGGGGTGGTTCCAGGTCTCCAGGCGAGTTAAATTGCCGAAGAACCAGCCAGCATCCCCAGATAATCGCCAACCGGTAAATAAACTGGGGGAATGAGATGCCTCAAAGCCTATCTGCGGCAGCTGAGCGGACGCTAAAACATGCCTCAGCATCTTTTTAAAGCGCTGTTAAGTACCTACTTTAATTCTTCGGTTCCTCGGCGTTATTTTGCCTTTGCTTCACACCTCGTGCTCCTGTCACCGGGTGCTGCGTATAATGAAGATTCAGTAGGCACTTGACGAGCGATCCCCCAGTTTAATTACGTGCGGTTCCCTCGGGCTGCATATTTAAACTTTACCTGTTAAGGGTGGTTATTGTGTGGCTGGGCTAAGCTCGCGGTGGGTATTGCCTCTTACTGGGACGGGACAGTAACTTGCTTTGGTTTGAAGTTCATTCCACGCAACAGCCGCTTGAAGCTCGGCAGTCCAAATTCTCTTGTGCTTAGATGCAGGTAAATAGTCGAGGACCTCACATCGCCTGTCCAAATGCCACTTGAGCATAAGGCAGTTTAGGCCCCGTCTTAGAAACTTGCCCAAAGACTGAGAATAACACCAAAGCCACAGCTTCGAGCTGAAACTGAAGTTAACTACCACATCGCGTGGACACTTTTCTGGTGCCTGTAGGTCCAGAAGGCTCCTGTTTACAAAAGGAAGTCAGATGTGCCTTTATGATGGAATAATTTGTGTAGTCCCAGTATAAAAGAATACCTTGTTCACATCAGCGTTTAAAGAAACAGCTAATGTTGTGGGAGATAAAGGAGTCTTTACAACGCAGGCAGCTCCCCGTGAGCTTGCAGCGATGGAAGGCTACTGCCGTAAAGCAGTTGCAGGCGAGGTGGCTTCCTTCCTCGTAGAGTTTTACGAACCTGATTTGGGCCCAGCGAGCACTAGATGGACCCTCGCCAGGGTCCGCGACCTGGGTCTCGGAGCTCGTAGTAACTCGGGCACTTGTTTAATTATTCTGCATGCTGGATGTGGGCGAGAACCGGGCCGCGCAGGACTTCCTCAGAGCTGCTCCCCCTCAGCTTTAAATCCCCAGGAGGAGCCCCGAGGCCGTGGGATTTTCACGGAGACACAGGTTCCCGGGGGATGTAAACCTGCGGACTCCGGTTCAGGCACCCGGCAGAGGTGCGGGCCGTGCAGGGGAGGGCTTCTCGCGGTCTGCCGGGAGCTCGCGGGCAGATGAGGGCTTTACATCCCACCACGTCCAGGTTCTGCCCGCTCGGGAGCGTCCCGCTAGGACCCGGCACTCCGGGCAGCGTAAGGAACCCCTCCGGCCCGAATTTCAGCGGGCGGAGGCCGGAGGAGCGGGTGTGCCGTGGCCGTGCCCCGGAGCCTCCCGGTGCAGAACCCTCCGCCAGCCGTCGGCGCGGGAAAGCCGGGCTGCTCCGCTCGGCAGCCGGAGGCGTTCACGTCTCCAGCCCCCTCGGCACCTTTCCCCGCTACAGGGCAGCAAAGACGCGAGCGGCACCGGGGCCCGTGTCCCTGCAGACACCTCGCTGTAGGCGTAGCGTGGAGGGCGGTGGGAGGACGTGCCTCGCCGCGAGCAGGGCTGGCTCTCGCCGCTTCTCGGGGCAGAGCTCCCCCGGATCACGTTGCCTTGGGAGCGGGGGGAATTAGGGACAGGGGCCCTCCGCACCCACGGGCGGCAGGGCTCACCCACGCTCCCTGCCGAAGGGAGACAGCTGCAGTTAAACGCTTTTTACGTGCAAGCGGCTTTCAGCGGCCGGGGCTTGCAGAATAACTGCCGCCGAGCTGTGCTTAACGCACCTCCCTCTGCTGCGCACAGGCTATCAGGATGTCTCATCACGTTGACACGCACCCAAAACGTGTTTATTTTTTAAAATTCGTTTCACGCTTTTCCTCCCCGTGGCAGCGGGCAGACACATTCGCTAGAAACTTTGAGCGCAATTAGCACACAATCAGGTTTTTTGTTTTTTTTTTTTTTTTTTGCTTTTACCGAGGAAGAGTGCTGCGTAGCACGGTCCCCGTGCCGCTCGGTGGAAGGCCGGGGACTTTGCTCCCCGGGTTCTGCCAGGCCGCAGCTCTCCCGGGCTGCCCAGCTCCTGGGGGCACGTCTGCGTGACGACCAGCGTAGGGACTGGGATGCTCCACACGTAGGGAAGGACAGTAGCCGCTTAGAAAATAACCACAAGTAAGCAAACACAGCGAAGCAAACTCCGAGGTAATGTTCCTTCACTTTCGGGCAGTTCTATGGACTATAATAAAGGTGCAGCATATAATTAAAGTTCAGATGTCTTAATTAGGGAATCTGAGAGAGCTCGCTTGGAGATAAAAGAGTAGCAGATGTGTTAGCGCTGAAAAGTTGACACGCTACAGAGGAATCCTAAAATCAAAAGCCCATGAAATGTTTCATGCTCTATTATTGCCGAATGAATCCGTAGTTCAAAGTCTTCCCGACTACTTAGCGCATTCGGTTTGATCATCTGGGCATCGATACGTATTTTTTTCTTTTACATCTTCTCATATCTACCGTCTCCTGCCCAACGATTTTGATGAGGATGTGCCCCTGTACAGAGCAGAAATGCTGTGAGGGGCGGCAGTGTTTGAGTCTCAACAGGTCCGCTACGTCTGGGAAGCGGTTCTCGGTCACGAAGAGAAACCTCCCGGTGAAGAGAAACCTGCCCCCCATCCGTGTTTCTCACTAACAAGGCCCTGGTAGCGACAGCAAGAGCCCCCGCCTGAAATTGGCCGAAAAATACTGACTTTTTTTTTTATGAAAAGATGGCGGTGAAATTCCTCATGCCTCCAAATTGGTGTTTAGGAATGATGTTCTCATCTCTTTGTATGCATTACCTCCCGTGAAGCAGGGTGGAACCTCCTGCTGGCGTGTAGTCGCGGAGGGAGAGTGGTGGAGGTGAGGGCCCTGGCCAGAGAGCGGGCGCTGCTCCCGTGCTGTTGAGATTGAGCCTGGGAAGCGCAGCGGGGCCCCTCGCACCAGCCTCCCCCCGGCTCTCCCAGTGCCTACCAGGAAAGCACCACCGTGTCTCTCTTTGTACACGTAAACTGTTCTTTTCGTTGTGGAAAGCGTGCTGTTTATTTTTCTTATGCCTCTCCCATTCCATTTCTCTCTCTCTCATTGACTAATTTATGCCGGGTTTCATTTACGGTTTTGTGGTTTTTTGTTTTTTTGGTTTTTTTTTTTTTTTTTTTAGCGCTGTAGAAGGCAAAAGGGGGGGACGGTTCCGGGGCCAGATTCTCCAGCTAGAGTACGTGTGGGGGCAGCTCCCGAGGCGCGGCGAGCTGGAGCCCGTGCCCGGCTCCGAGGATCTGGCCCGCTGTCCTCAAGGGCAGCTGGGCCGTCCCCGCCTGCTCTGAGAGGGGGGGGAGAGGCCCCCGCCAGCCGTGCTGCTTCTTAGCGTCCTTGTTTTTCTCTGATCACGATTGACCGCTGTTGTGTTCTGCTTGTTTTTTCTTAATTTGCTTTTTTATTATTTTCCTTTTTATATTTTATCCAGATCCCCCCACAACTATCCCTCCTCCCACAACAACCACCACCACTACCACCACCATCCCTACCACCATCACAGGTACGGTACCTTCATAACCATTGGAAATGTCCTGAATGTTTATTGTCTTTTATGTATATAAGCAGAGCATGAAGCCTGGGGAAAAACGACAGACAAATCGCTTGCTTTTTTGTACTTTTTTCTCAAATGCCCCCACTACACAGTGTGAGTCCCGGTCCGGCAGTTCGACGAGTTGGACAGTCCTTGCTGCAGGGGTTTCTGAAACGCGGGAGCGGCCGTGGCAGAAAAAGCTGTCAGTTCGGTTGCTGGTGGCTGATATTGGGTTCTTTCAAACAACGGATGCAGACAGCCTTCGAGCTCACTTCATACGGGCAGTTGTTTCGGCCTCAACCCCGGGAGTAGCAATTCCTGGGCAATTCCTACTTGCACGCAGAAAGTTTGGTCGTCAGTGATTTAAGTCGGCTCGCGCGACTCGAGACGCTTTTCCTGATGCCTAGGTGTTTGGTCTGTCTCTGCGGTAAGCCCTCTGCCTCCCTCTCCCAGAGGAGCGAATTCCACCAGTCGTTTTTTGAGAGTCCAGCACCGTCTGTAGGACCCTTTTTGAGGAGCTGGCTTTTAGCGTTTTGGGTTTTTCCCTGCCGCGAGAGAAAAGACGGACCAAAAGAAAGCAGCCGATCACGAGACACCTCCCTCTTTCACACGCATCCCTCGTACTTCCTCGCTAGACCCAACTCCCTGCACTCATCAGGAAGGCCTTTCTGATTTCTTTGTAATCATTTGCATTGCCATTTTCCCGATCTTTTCTATTTCAACTGCTGCTTTGCTTTTGCTTTTGCTTTTGCTTGCGTTTTTTGGGTTTGTTTTGTTTTGAGGTAGAGGTGACAAACCGAAGGTGAGAACGGACCGTTCGGTAGCTAATGGCGTACTGTTTATTGTTGTTCTGAACCATCTCCTCCATAAATGCCTTCACGTTTTATTTGCTTTTATGACGCTGCTCAGCTGACTCCAACTGTCCTGCTCAGGGTGTTTTGTGGCTTCTTTCCTTCTGAGGTTTTTGCCATCGAGTCAGACTCCGCTGGCACGGACGAGCAGTCGAAGTCTTTCTTCCAAGGTGCCTTAACGCGCACGGCGCCGTCTGCCATACTCCATCGTGTCGTCCAGCCCTTCCCATTCCCTGTCTTCCTCTTTCCAGGTGCCTGTCAGTAAAACCGAACGCCAGGCACCCACGCTGGGATGCTCTGAGACGCTCCACCGTCAGTGTTTTCCCATTGTGCAACTCGATGGCTTTGTTTCAGTTCTGGTTCTACTGTTTTAACTTAACCAGCTTTCATTTCAGAGTAGGTTTCAAACTGTATCAGCCTCCTTTAGAGCCGTTTGCAGAGCAACTCGGTCCCCTGTGTCTCGGTGTAAGTGGACGTGCATACAGTTTTCTTTTGTTTTACGGTAATTTGTTCGTGCTTTCAGTGAATTTTGGAAGCCTGGGAGGAAGAAGGTGTCTTGGTGCTTGACTGACCCCGTTCGGTTGCCGTCGGTGCCTGCAAACACTGACGTCTGCCCTCCTCCCGGGAGCCGGACGGCCACCGGCCCGCCGCTGGAGGGATCGCCCTAGGACTGTTTCCCAAAGCGCGCGCTGTCCTCGCCTGCCCTCCGGGGCCGCGGTACTTCCTCACAAATCCCGGCTTTGTCCTTTGCTCCTCCGCTGCGAGCGTTGCAGCTTGTCTGTGACTTCCCAGTAGCGGCCGGGCTTCGCGGCTCCCCTCCGCGGTGCTTCTCCTGCTTTTTCCCATCGAGAACGGGACGGGGAGGTGGCTGGTTCTCGGAGGTGGGAACGGCTGTGTCCAGGCCTCCCGGGCCGGCGGTGGCCGAGCCGCCGCGGTCGTCTTGCCTGGGCCTGGGGGGTCCCGGCGGGGTTTCTGGCGAGGGGCGGATGCCCAGGGGCCGCTCTGCGCCCTCTCAGCTGCGGCTCGTGGTGCCGCCTCACCCGCGTCCCCAGCTGTACGAAGCCAGCCTTGGCCTCTTCCCGCGGGGCTGCTTTGAGCGTGGCCCTGACGGGTCTTCCGGGAAGGGACGTCCTTCTGGCGTGGCGTTTTCCCAGCCGTTTCTCCTCGGCAGCTTTCCGTCGGAGCAGAGCGTTGCCCCGCGGGTCAGCACCGCCCTTCGTGAGGGTGCTGCTCTTTGGCGGGGGGGGGGGGGGACACACAACGGCGTGCCAAAACGATGAGGCGCGCGCTGAGGTGCATCACCCAGCCCCTCTTTAATTTCCCGTACAGGCAGAATTGTGGGTTGCTCTTTTATCAGCTGGGCAGAATTACTTTGGGATCAGGAGCGCGTGGCTGTCCTGGGGTTTCCTCTCACCTTTGCGCACAACGACGGAGGAGCTAAAACTCCCAAGCTTGCTGGCGTCCTGTTGCCAAAACCCGGGCATCGCCTCCTCAGTGCCTTTCCGTGTTGGCTTTGAGCTGCTGCAGAGGCTGAAAACGTAAGGAAAATGTAATACTGGTCACCGATCCCAGCAGTTACTGCTCTCGCTATGTTGGAGGAAGATCGGTGCTGATAAGACAAATTTTTTTTATTCTTCCCTGGCACGGTGCTAACGCTGAGTCTTCTCGGTGTGTGTCTTCACGTCTTCTGGCCACAGGCTCAGCGTGCTTGTCCCACAAAGAGCAGCTGAGGCTTCGCCCCCCGCCTTGCTGCGGGAGACCTGCCCGGGGGTGTTTTCCAGGCAGCGACGTGGCGGTGTGAAGCTGCAGAAAGTTTTTCTCCTCCAGAGTTAAGAGACTTTGTAGCTGGAAAAAATTAGGTCAAATTAACATAATCTCTAGAATTACATAGCATAATAGTGTTGAAACACTTTTTAAAGCCTCAGGAGACAATTGATACCTTAATTCCCATCGTCACCAAAACGCTGCAGTATTCTCCCAGTGCGACTGAAGCGCTCTGGTAGCAGACGGGGTGTTTCTCGTCTCGGCTGGCAGGTGGGGAGCGAGTCCTCTGCCAGCCAGATGGCTTGAAAACCCTTCCTTTGCACGAGGGGGACTTGAAATCTACTTCATTTTGCCTTTTCCCCCCTACTTCTTGTGTAATACTGGCTTCGTTCGTGTCCCCTGAAACCATAGGGTAGTTCTGAAAAACAATTGTCTTGCTTTGATTTATAACAAAAAAAAAAAAAAAAAAAGAGGGGGCAGAGAGAAGGACCTGCACGGGAACAGTTCCCGTGTCCAAAGCTCGGGTCGTAGGCATGCCGTCGTCTCTAGCAGCTGCCCCTAGAAAATTACATTCTTGGAAGCAGTCCTTTTGAGTTACTGGCGAGAACTTGCTCTGGATTCATCTTCCCCTCCTAAACCTCTCTGGCAGAGGGGAGCGTGCGCAGGGAGCGAGTCCTTGCGTGCAGGTTCCGGTGACGGCCGGCGTTCCGCCGCGCCTGCACGCAGCAGCACGTGTCCGGCGTGGCGTGGGAAGGCGGCCCCGTCCCGCGGCGTCCCCCCCGGGGAGGGACGGGTCCCGCGCTGGGCTCCCCGTGGGCTCCCCCACACCCGCCCGAGTCCGTGTGCCTGCGGCGGGGGGTCCCTTTGTGGGCCCCTCTTGCCCCACCCGTCCGAGTCCTGTGTCGCTGCTGCCCCAGGCTTGACCTGCGGAGGCCCGCTGAGCCGATAAAGCGGCTTTGCAGCGGGGAGGTTCTGGGGGAAGAGCTCTGAAAAGCCAACCTGCTGCTTCTTTCAGGGAGAAGGAAGAGCTGAGCAGCGGTGAGGTTTCCAAAACGGCACGACCTTTAAAGCTTTTCCTCTGTCACTGTTGCTTTGCTTCAGTGTAGGTGCTTGAAAAGATTTCCTTGCGTGACAGTTTGATCTTTTCCGTATATCCTCCAACTGCATTGATATTCCGGCCACCCTTTGGTGGTTCAGCTGTTATCGCTGGCAAGCCCCTTTTTTTATCAGTTCAAATTGTCCTTGTGGCTCTGTTCATTAAGATGTACAATATGATACAGCAGAGCAAACTGCATAATTTGAATTACCCCTAGAGTTGTTCCTTGAATCGCGGGTTTTGGACAGCTGTTGTTTCCTGGGAGATAACGGTGCTTAATAATGGCGAAGCCCTCATCTCTGGGCGCAGCGCAGAGTGGGGCGTTTCAGCCTGCCTCTTCCCGCAGCGTTTCGCTGCCTTCTGGTCTTGCTTAGCACATCCACCTCCGCGCCCTGGGCTCGCCGGTAGCGTTTGGACATGCAGGTCGGCGTTTATCGCACTCTCTCTGCGGACGGATCACGCAGGTGTCTTGGCAACCCTTTCGGTGGAGACCCGGGGGGGTGCGACGGGCGGGCACGGTCCCGGCGTTTCCAGCCTTGCAGCGGGCGCTACCGATGCAGCACAGCCCCCGCTGACCACCTTGCCACGGTGCTAACGGCGGACGCCTCTGCGGCCTCTCTTGAATGCCATTTCGGGCCACATTTTAAGCCGCGCCGGTCCCGCTGTAGGTTCAGGGTTCCGGGGGACGCCTGAGCCTCCCTGGCAAGGGCTGGAGGGGGGCAGCGGGCTCTGCGTCTGCTCGGCTTCATGCAGCAACCCGCGGCTTTGTGTCACCTTCGCTGCTGAGGAGATAACAACCCGTGCACATCCAAAGTCTTTGAGAAGAAATAGCGTAGCGGGTTTTCAAAGCGTGAATCCAGATGCTGGATAAACCTCCTCGAAATGCGGGAAACGGTGCTTTCGGCCTCCGTGGCAGTTTGTTCCCGTGCGGCGGCCTGCGGTTGCACGGGGCTTATTCCAGCAGAAGCCCCGAGAGGCGGTTGTCGGGCGGGCGAGCGCGGCAGCGGTCGCGCTCCGCTCACGTCGCCCCGCGGGAGGTTTGCGGGAGGCGGCGGGGGGGTGGCTCCAGCGCGGAGGAGCCGCGCGTCTCACCGGGGACGGCGGCCGCTGGCACTGAGCCCCGAAGAGCCCGGCCGGCTCCAGCCCGGCTGTCGGGGCTCCCTCGGGTTTTTCTCCCCCTTTTCCGGGCAGCTCTCGCCAGGTGCCAGCGCAGCGACCGGAGCGATGGGCGCCCGGCGTCGCTGCCAGCTTGCGGCGGG